GGGGTGGAGGGGGTGTTAAAGTTGCGAGATCGTGCTACATGGCGGAGGGAGAGAGAGAGAGAGAGAGAGAGAGAGAGAGAGAGGCAGTCTTATGTAAGAGAGAGGGGGGAGGGAAGGGAGATAGAGATAGGCTCCCGAAAGATTAGCAGCCATGCATGCGGTAGTGGGAGAGAGAGAGAGAGAGAGAGAGAGAGAGAGAGAGAGAGAGAGAGAGAGAGAGAGAGAGAGAAGCCATAGCCGCCACCTATGGATGGACAGAGAGAAGGTAGCATGTATTAAAATGCTCATCCTATGGATGGAAGCACTCTCTCTCTCTCTCTCTCTCTCTCTCTCTCTCACACACACACGCACACACACACACACGCACACACACACACACGCACACACACCGGGTCGCAATCAGGTGGCGGCTATGGCTTCTCTCCCTTCTCTCTCTCTCTCTCTCTCTCTCTCTCTCTCTCTCTCTCTCTCTCTCTCTCTCTCTCTCTCTCTCTCTCTCTCTCATCTTGTTTCTCTCTTTCACTAACCCAGATCGTTACCCTGGATACACCCAGTCAAGTAAATACACCTTGGCGGCTATGGCCGCCGTCTCCTGCTCTACCGCTAGCCTTGCTATGGAGTATCTCACAAGCGCCCTGTTCTTTTTCAGGCGCACAGTGCCCAAGTTGCCTGAACGCACAAGCAGCAGCAGAGCTTCCGTATCTCGCAACTGAACAAGTTATGTGCCGCTGCACTGTAGCGGCTAAATATCAGACTTGGCTTTGCTTGGCTTAACTTGGCTTGGCTTTGCTTGGCCTGCTTCAGACTGGTACCGGTCGGCCGGGCCTGTCTGCTGCAAACCTTTTGCCGGTCCAGTAGCTTCCGGACTTTCCTGGTACATGCTGCAAAATTGGAATTGGGACTGTCGGACTGGACTGGACGCTTCTGAGGCTGGCGACTGGGTGTCTGCAGCGTGAATCCTTTCAAATATTAGAATAGTAAAATAAAATAAAATTACTTTGTTATTCCAATGGTGGATATCTTGCTGCTCTGCTTTGATGCCAAATTCATGATTTGTTTTTGTTGCTCCTGCATTTTGGGGCTGATGTCGGTCCGACTTCCAGATTTTGTTCGTCTATCCACCTTGCAAGCGAATTGCGCTGAAGGAGTTGGCCGGATTCTGTTTCCCGAATGGTGTCCAGGTACGAGGGACCCTGATCCCTGGTCATCTTTGTTGCCTTCCCCTTTTCTTCCTTCTTTTGTACGAGTCGAGTTTGTCGACGTTGTTTCTGTGTAGGTTCTAAATCTAACGGAGTAATCGAGTTTAATTGAGTTTAATCGAGTTTATCGAGTTTATCGAGTTTAATAGAGTTTAATAGAGTTTTAATCGAGTTTTAATCAAGTTTAATATCAATAACATGATGACTTAGTGTTTGTGAATATTTGCCTTCCTTTCAGTTTTAATCGAGTTTTTAAAAAGGGGTGGCAGCCGCAACACCTAACATTATTTTAACAATTTATAATATAATTTTATATCCATGAGGATCTCAAAGTCGGGATGGTGTGTATCATTTAGCCAGGCCTGGGTAATGATATCAGAATTCAAACTTGAAGCTCTTTTGCTTGTTTTCTTTTTTTTTTTAGTTGGTATATTTTTGTTTGCACAGTTGTTTTACAGTGAGTTATGTCCTGAAATAATTGCAGTGCAGCGATGCTGTGCCCTTTGGGAACTAAGTGGAAATGGTCCAAGTTCTTCTTTTCTTAATGGGAAAAAAAAGACTATAGGCAGCTAGTGTGTGGACCTAGATTGCTATTGTCACTACATATATAACTATCGCTAATTTCCTGCCTGTGACAAGCGGACGATCGGGGCCATCCAATTTTTTGCTGCATGACGGTCCCGATCGTCTGCTGATCGTTTTTTCTTAGAAGTTGAAGCGTCGCCAGGGCCAGTACCGGTTCCGCATGCCAATGCCGACACCACGCTTGGTACCGGGCCCGCGCACCGGAGCCGGTACCACCACACAAGGTCCTGGACCCCCACGCTAGCACCAGTACTGTCGGACGTTGCCGGGCCAGCACCAAGCGGCCACACGTAACAAACTTTTTCCGATTTCGGGAGGCAGTGCGGGAAAAACCGCGTGGCCCCACACCACACCTGCCCTCCAATCGACTTTCGACTTTTCATACCCTAGGCTACAGCGCTCGACGCCGACTGACTTCTACGCTGCTATGGTCGACTACGACTTCGCTCTACGTTGGACACAGGCTCACACGCACACCAACACACGCACACACGCACACACACACACACACGCATGGACGCACACACACACGCACGCACGCACACACGCACCACGCACACACACACACACGCGAACGTGGTGAGTCCTTGGCCATCAGTACAGTTCATCTTGGGCGGACTGTCAGGGCTCAACCTCCTGACGAGTCGGTGGAAGTCCGACGAAACAGTCTGGCTGCGTCATTTTGTGAGTTCTGTGTAGCGAACATAACAACAGTCACATACACTAAGACTCACCCACACAGAACACACACACGCACACACACATACACACATACACACATACACATACACACACACACACACACACACAACCACACCCACCCACCCAGGACACACCGTCTCTGCATCGTCAAGGCTTGAGCTGTACAGCGTCAATGCTTTCGAACGACCGCACCTTGATGACTGACGGTGAGTTTGTTATTCGTGTCTGTTGCTTTCATTTTTTGTGGTCTTGGAACTATGAGAGAGACAGAGTGCGTATG